ACATTTGCTTGTCTTGGGGATTAGCTAACCTTTGCTCTAAAGAGATCCTTCTTTTTCCTGTGGGGTATTGATGCTGTAATAGGTGGCCTTCGCTTTTTCCTTGGTCCAAGTGAGTTGGTGGCCCAGTGACAGCTGAGTCACCACTCTGGACTTCGAGCTAGGAGACCAAGTGACCTAGGAGTAGCTGAAGAGCAAGTGTCTCCAAGGGCAATAAGCATTCTGAAGAACTGACTTCTAAGAGAACATCACTAGTAAAATAGGAGACTTCTATTTTAGGAGAATATCTGCATGATATTCAGATCTCTTCACTGCATTCTCTTTCTTCTCTGAATTTGCAGTGAACTCAGGTTACGCTGTTCTGCTGGATGTGAGTGAGCAAGTTCTGGCCTTTAGCAATCCCATGACAGCTGCTAAGCTTAAGAAAGATATATGTACATATGGCAACTTCTGTAATAATACAATGCAGAATATCATCAATACTATTATCAGAATGTCTGAGATATATGTGGGTATACATGTATGTATGTCTATATTCAAAAATATTGGGTAAAAACACTTCAGTGATACCTAAATTATGGGTTTTAATTTCTCCTCCTTTATATAACTGATTTCTTCTACACTGAATGTGAATTATGCATACAATAAGAAATAATGTGAACAAAAGCATTATACATAATAAAACTCTTAAAGTTAACATTAAATATCTAAACTGATCAATAATTCTGTTTGAAGAATAGTTTGATATTTGAAAACTAGGGAAAACCAATGGTGTACTCTGGAGAAATATACTATTCGAAATAAATCAAAAAGAAAGAAATTATAAGGGAAAAAACCCATCATGAAGCCTTTATACTCCTCTACAAAGAACTTTAACATAGAATATAGTAGTAAAATAAATTTTTCAGTGAAAGGAAATATATTTATGTAAGTGGGGTTTTGAGTCTGCCAGTTAACTGCCACTCATGTGCTCACGTGATGCTTTCAGTGATGTTGAAATGTGGTTATTATTGTCCCGTTTTGCATATTAAATGGTCTTTGCAAAGACATTCAGCTGTAAAGTGTGAACTAGAGCTGAATCTGAGGTTTCCTGACTAGAACTCTACTCCTAGTGACCTCAAAAAATAAAAATAAAAAATAGAGAAATGAAGTAGAAATCACATTTGGGAGCTCTGTATTTGTGATGTGAACAAGAAAACATCCTTAACAGATATACAGATCCCTAAAAAAGACAGAAAAATCACTATACAAAGTTTTGATCTTTTTTGTTGAAAGATAATTGCTTTACAAAGTTGTGGTGGTCTCTGCCGTACATAAACATGAATCAGTCATACTTATATACATAACTCCTCTCAGTGGGCCTCCGTCCCCCACCCCATTCAGTTCAGTTCAGTCACTCAGTCGTGTCTGACTCTTTGCAACCCCATGAACAGCAGCACACCAGGCCTCCCTGTCCATCACCATCTCTCAGAATTTACCCAAACTCATGTCCACTGAGTCGGGGATGCCATTTAACCATCTCATCCTCTGTCATCCCCTTCTCCTCCTACCCTCAATCTTTCCCAGCATCAGGGTCTTTCCAAATGAGTCAGCTCTTCGCATCAGACGGCCAAAGTATTGGACTTTCAGCTTCAACATCAGTCCTTCCAATGAATACCCAGGACTGATTTCCTTTAGGATGAACTGATTGGATCTCCTTGCAGTCCAAGGGACTCTCAAGAGTCTTCTCCAACACAGTTCAAAAGCATCAGTTCTTTGGCGCTCAGCTTTCTTTATAGCCCAACACTCACATTCGTACATGACTACTGGAAAAACCATAGCCTTGACTAGCCAGACCTTTGTTGACAAAGTAATATCTCTGCTTTTTAATATTCTGTCTAGGTTGGTCATAACTTTTCTTTCAAGGAGTAATCGTCCTTTAATTTCATGACTGCAATCACCATCTGCAGTGATTTTGGAGCCCCCCCAAAAATAAAGTCAGCCACTGTTTCCCCATCTATTTGCCATGAAGTGATGGGACCGGACCATTACACTGCTCTGGGTCATCACAGGGCGCCAGGCTGGGCTCCCTGTGGCGGAAGAGCAGCTGCCCACTAGCCATCTCTCTCACATATGAGAGTGTACACACGTCAGTGCTACTCTCTCAATCTGTCCTGCCCTCTCCTCCTCCTCTGTGTTCACCAATCTGTTCTCTATATCTACATCTCCATGTCTTCTCTGTAAGACAGGTTTACCAGTACTTTTTTTTCTAGATTCCACATATATGCATTAATATACAATATTTGTTTTTCTCTGACTTACTTTATTCGGTATAACAGGCTCAAGGTTCATCTACCTCAATAAAAATGACTCAAACTTGTGCATTTTCACAGCAGAGTAATATTCCATTTCGTGTATATACCACAACTTCTTGATCCATTAATCTGTTGATGGACATCTAGGTTGCTTCCATGTCCTGGCTATATATTTCTTTATCTATCTGTCAAAATTAATCTAACATGTTGTCCAAATCACATGGGATTGGAACAGGTACCAAAAGTAAAATGGGATATAAAGAAACACAGGCTTCTTCTCATGCTGAGCACTAACCATTATACAAGACACTGTATTAGGCTTTACATTCACTAGACCAATTAACTCTTAGAAATATTTTATGTATATAGATCATCTATATATATATATATTCCATTTATATGATGGAATATTACTTGGTCATAAAAAAGAATGGACTCTTACCATTTGTAATAGCATGGGTGTACCTGAAGGGTATTATGCTAAACAAGTGGGACAGAGAAAGCCATATACCGTATGATTCCACTCATATATAGAGTCTAAAAAAACAAAATCAATGAACAAATGAAAGAAAAACAGATTTAGAGACAGAGAACAAATTAGTAGTTGTCAGGGGGTGGGGGGAGGAGGAGGCAAAATAGTTACAAAGGATTAAGAGGTACAAATGCCCAGTTATAAGTCACAGGGTGTAAGGTACAGCACAGTGAACATAGGCAGTATTTCATAATAACTCTTCAGTGTGTGATGTATAGAAAGATTGAAGCACTGTTCTCCTGAAACTAATAAAATTGTATCCCTGAAACAAATATAACACTGTAAGTCAACTATATTTCAACTTTTAAAAAATTTAAAAATCTTCTGAGAGCAACCCCCCATCTCCCATTTAAAGATGAGCTAAAGGGGGCTTGGAGAAAGTTGGATAACTTTACCGGAGATTTCTTAGGTCATAAGCATAGCTTTGGAATTTGAAGTTGGGTTTCTGTGGTTCCAAAGCCATCATGTGTGTGTGTTTATTTCTCTGTTTGTTCTGGTTTGTTTTATCTATACAGTATAGACAAACAGCTCAAAATTTTTCATAGCTTCAATTTTAGAACAGGCATCAAGGAAAGGTTCTTGAACTTAGAAATAATTTTGTAACTAGGAAATCCCAGGAAACATAGGCGATAAAGTGATGTCATCTCTCAAAATTTTTCATAGCTTCAATTTTAGAACAGGCATCAAGGAAAGGTTCTTGAACTTAGAAATAATTTTGTAACTAGGAAATCCCAGGAAACATAGGCGATAAAGTGATGTCATCTCTAAGTCTGGTGTTGTTAATCTGGATTCAATGTGACACTGCACACATACACACAACTATGTGCTTACAACTAGTTACACACACCATCATTCTACCTTTGATTAAGCCAAGATAATTTCTCATTAATCACTGAGTCACAGCTTTGGCAACTTCACCATGCCATTTTAAAATAAGGACACCTAATTCAAGCTGAAACACATCTCAGAGGCTTAATGCCAATATGCTTATTTCTCAAATTCAAATCATCATATTGTATACTTTTATTATATACAAGCTTACTGGTCAATTATTGGGGTCAAGAGTCAGACATGACTAAGTGACTGAACAACATACCTCTGTAGGATTGGAAAATGCAATAATTATATATTTTTTGCATAATTTTTCTTGCCATTATTTCAGTAAAATCATTTCAATCTGAGTTGTTTTTTATGAGGGTATTCATTTTACTAATCTTTAAGTTGTAGCAATATACTTGTAGCAATCATACTCTTGTATGATTCTTTTTTACAATAAAAACAAAACTTTTTAAATTTAAATTGCAAGGGAAGTGGAGAAATGTAGCTTCACATGGATTTTGGGAGAGCATTAACTATCTCTGCCACGGTTATGAAGTCACCTTCCAACTTAGTTTTGGAGCAGCCTCAGTTCTCATCAAATAAAACAAAAAAAGATATTGTGATCGCAACCCTCTCAGTAGGCAATTTGAAAAGGAAATAAGACAAATCACCAGTGAGAATATGGAAGGCATTCATTATTAATACCTAACAAAATAATGCAAAAGGAAACATTTAAAATATTTTGTTAATGTTTTAAATCCTCCATGCTTATTAGGTTGTGGGAATATATTAGGTTGTTCTCAGGTGTTTCTGGTGAAAATGCAAATTGATATAGCTTTTAGAAAAAAATCTGGCTATGTGAAATAAAATGTAAATGTATAAACCTTGGGATTAGCACATTCTGTTTCAGACTTTTCTCTTAAAGTAGTTATCAGACAAGTGCACCAAGATATATGTGTGTGTGAAAATATTCACTGTGACAATGTGAATACACACACACACAAAGTAACCTGGTTGTTTATTAATTAGGATTCACTATGGTGACCCATAAATTTTAGGCTTTTAAAACAATAAGAACTTTATAGATGGATGAGTAGATAGAGAGATAGATTGACAGATAGGCAGACAGACAGCAGCTATATCTGGGATACTTTATTAATAAATAGTGTGATTAAAAAATCAAGTTAGTATCAGTTAAGAAAAGGGTGAATCAGGTATTATTTCTTGCTAATCTATTATACACCACAGTCATATATAATCCTTACAGCAACTCTTTGACTTGGATGTTGAAGTCTATACTTTAAAGAAGCAGCAAAGAGTTCAACTCACAGAAGACTGAAAGTGGTACATTTGGGATTTCAACTCAGGTCCAAATCTGGTTCCAAATCCGATGCTTTCCCTACTGCACCAAGCTGCTTCCACAGCAGTCGGAACTCGTCTGCACCTGTTCCATACTTGTTTGCATTTTTCCATTTTAGAGCAGCAGCCACCCCCTGCCCCACCAGGCTCAGCAACACTTTCAACACTTTGGTTCCCTTTGCCATGGCTGAGGCAGATCCACTCACCTCCCTGGCATGCACGCGCAGCTCTGCAGTGTACCCGAGCATCTGGCAATCCACCCAGCGAGAGAGACTGGGAAGCACAGAAAATTCCTCAGAGAGCTGGCAACATCTGTTTGATAGGTGATGAAAAATAAACTCGTAATAAACCCATTTCAGGAGCAAAAAAAAAAAGAAAGGCTCCTCAAAGTGCTGATTATTCATTTTGTGCAAGTGTAGTAATGCTGGTCTACTTGACAAGTAGAAAAACAGCTTGTCTGGAAGCAAATGATCACAGCCAGAGGGTGAGGCTGCTCACACCAGGAGCGAGCGCAGGCGAGGGCAGATGAGGAAGCATTTAGAAAGATTGCCTGGAAAGCCTGCACCACCTGTGGCTGGCTCCTGGCATAGAGGAGTGACCCAGGTGGTGGAGTGAGGAGCAGACGTGTCAGGAATGAGTTTCAACCCAGGAGTGGTGACTTCCTCACCACTGCTAGGCTGCTCCCCGTCCATTCAGCCATCAAAGCATTCTTCCCTTTATCCGTCCATTCACTGTTTCACTTATTCAAATATTTATTACATACTCTCATGAAAACATCTTTTTACTATGGATATCATAGCTATTATATTATAATTTATGGTGGTTTTCCTACAGAAAAGTAAAATTATAAAAGAATGGCAGATGAACACTTATTGAGTTTAAATCTGATAAGACATAGATGAATATGACAAAATGGACTGAAGAAGGAAAGAACATATTTGAAAGATAAAATCATCCTTGGTAATAACTACACTCGCTACAAGCTAGTCCATGGCTATAAATGTAATTGTGGATGTAGATAAAAGGAAAGAGAATTCAATGAATCTAAAAGAGTGATTTAGTGTTTTTCTCAGGCAAAGTCATTATTATACCAGGTGGAGACAAAACAGAAACTAGGCTAAAAATGGTCCATGGGTTAGCATACTATAGAAGCCAGATAAAGCTCTGTTATTATTCTCTTCATTTCTTCTCTACTCATATAAATTTTATTCTTTAACTTCTCACATGTATGCTCTCTTAACCAAAAGGTCCAGGTCAGAAATATGAAAAAGTGAGGGTGGAACAAGGGGAGGGAGAGAGAGAGAAAGACTATATTAGAGAACAGAATCTCCTGGACATCAATAGGCAATGACAGCAAAGATGAGAATATTTCCAAGAAAATGGCTGAATCTATGAGACTGAAGTGTAATAGCGTGGACCACTTAGCCCTCAATGCTTTCCACAGCTAACTTTGAAGATCTGCTATTATTATTTATTAAGGATGCAGAAACGTCGTACCTCTCTGGCACTAATATAAAGACAGATGCAAATCTGTTCCCCATCCCCTTCTCCCAGCATGAGGAAGGTACCATGTGGTAGGGCAAGAGGAATAGCCCTTGGAGGGAGAAGGCCTTGGGTTTGGCTCTGCACTTCATCGTTTGCTAGTTCTCTCTCCCTGTACTATTTACATGGACAGCATCTTCATCTATAAAATAGGTATCGTACTGTTTGGTTGATGTGATTGTGCTAAGTATTAAATGAGATAATATTTATGAATTAGAATAGTGGATAATACATACTAATTATTCAATAAGCAGTAGCTATTATTCCTACAATTATGACTGTGATTATTTTCTCTGAGTCTGCTTCCTCATTTAGTTAAATTTGAATAATGATACGCAAGGTTGGAGTGAACAATAAATGATGTGCATTTTATGCATTCTAGACGATAACAGTATTCAATCTAGCTTCAAAGAGAGAGACATGGAGGCACACTGCTTACCTAGATATGTTTATAAAATAGTATATATTCAAAGAGCAATACTCTTTGAATTAATTAACTCTTTGGGCATTTAATTAAATTCTTACAGCAGGAGAAATTCCCACGTGAAGCTCCTGAGCTCAATTCCATGTTCAAAATAAAAGAGGATCAATATCTGTCAGGGTGAAGTGAAGCTTCATATATAGGAAAACAAATAGCAATTCAAATTTTCAAACACAAGTTTAGATGTTCATCTTAGGGCTGGTTACAAAAATAAATCATGAAAATTAAGCCGTGCCCTGCCACAAAATGCTTACATTATAGGTCTGAAAAGGTGCTGTACTTCTCACAAATAATGTTCTTTTAACACGACTGTGTTTAGAGCTCCTCATTCTACACTGGGAGAGAATTTATGCCCCATTTAAAACTTGCCAGTCCCATATCCTGGAGTGTCTTACTCTCTCATTTCCATCTACTCAACTTTTTCACATTCTTCACAATTCAGATTCTTCAGGAAACTTCCCCCTACCCCTGTTATCCAACAACTAGTCTATGTTATTCTAATTTGCTTTTCATAGCATTCTATAGTTACTTTTCAGTAACACTGTATTTCATTTAGTTAGGTTTTAACTAATAAATCTGCTTCCCTCATCACACTGTGAGATCTTTGAGAAAAACTCATTTTACTGAGATTTTATTTCTTCATTGCATGTATTACTATCTTTTATATTTTTATTTGCTTCTAATCTTAAGAGAAGGGTGTTTATATGATGGGATGGTGTTTATGTTCTATACCATAACCTCAGATCTAGAATTTTTGTCACAGAGTAGGCACTCAGTACATATTTGTGGAATAAATGAAAGAATGAGGGAATCATATTTACAGAAATTAGCATAGTACCTGGTTATGTTATTCAGAAAATTGTGCTGAATTTAACTGCGATGCAATCATATTAGTTATTGCTTAAAACTATACAGTTTGCAATGATACTCAACATTACTTACCATTCAGAAGTATCTTGCATGGGCAAAGCTTACAGATGGTGAACACAGTAAAGGAAGTTCACCGGAATGATCTCTCCTAAAGGCACAATGGCATGGAAGAGCCTGGCGTGGGTAGGAACCTACAGAAAATGATGTTAGATGGAGATAGGTTTACTAGAAAACCCTGGAGAATTCAGAGGCAGTGAGAAAGGGCTGCTGAGCCACATTAACAAGTCTGCGTTTAGGACTACAAAACACTATGGAGCCACAGAAAATTTTAATCTGTCAATTAAGGGGATTATTTATGCTCTGAGCAGGGAGCTAGCTATCTGTGATCTGGGCGCTGTCTCTCTGATAAGAAAAGTCAGCCTCTCTGAACTCTGTGCCTGGAATATAGCCCAATATAGCTCACTGTCTAGGGCAGAGCTGCAAGGGCACCTAGGGCATCATGCACGCGTGCACGCATGTGCGTGTGTTTGTGTGTGCGCACAGAAGCGTGCATGCATGTGTGCCGTCGTGTCCCACTCTTTGCGACTCCATGGACTGTAGGCCACCGGGCTCCTCTGTCCATGGGATTTCTCTGGCAATAACACTGGAGTGGGTTTCTATTTCCTATTCCCGGGGATCTTCCCAAACCAGGGATCAAACCCATGTCTCTCGAGTCTCCTGCAGTGGCAGGTGGATTCTTTACCACTGTGCCACCCGGGAAGCCCGCACTTAGGGCATACTGGATGGAGAAATAAAGGAAGCAGGTCTTCTGAGCAACCTTAAAAGGAGTCACATGTGTTGCTACTTTATGGGTACTTGGGACCACCTAAATGCCATCTAATGGTGTTCTTTATTTCAGCAAGAAGAATTTATTTTATATATTCATGCAGGTCCTGTGCCTCAGAAGCAAAAAGCAAAAGAATTCCCCTCAGCAACTCTAATAAAGACAGATGAAAGATCACTAAAACTTTTAGTTGTATGAGGTCTTAGCAAGTAGGGTAGAATAAATATGATTTTCTAGGCAAATGAATCTGAAATAGTTTGCTATCACTCAGCCATAACTGACTAAAAAAGATTACTAAAAGAGTTTCTAATTCATTTCCAGGAACTAATCTGACAAGCTCTAATTTGTACATTACTGTGAAGGTGCAGGAAGAGGAGTGAGGGATTAGTTATCTGATGATGTACATAGCTAAATATATATGTGTGTATGTGTATTTACATAAGCATATTTATATTATACATCGATATATCTATGTCAATACATATGTATTTATATTTATGTTAACATATACAACAACATATATAATTTATTATATAAATTATAGATTAGAATATTCTGGTGACATGACTAAGGGTATAAAAATATTAAAATAGCAATATTCAGAATTTATAGTTCCAGGAAGAGCCAAGATGGCGGAGGAATAGGATGGGGAGACCCCTTTCTCTCCTACAAATTCATCGAAAGAACAATTGAACACTGAACAAAGTTCACAAAACAACTTCTGATCGCTAGCAGCAGACATCAGGCGCCCAAAAAAGCAATCTATTGTCTTCGAAGGGAGGTAGGACAAAATATAAAAGATAAAAAGGGAGACAAAAGAGCTAGGGATGGAGATCCATCCCGGGAAGGGAGTCTTTTTTTTGTTTGTTTGTTTTTGTTTTTTTCATTTATTTTTATTAGTTGGAGGCTAATTACTTTACATCATTGCAGTGGTTTTTGTCATACATTGAAATGAATTAGCCATGGATTCTCGCGCTGGCGGGTCTGAGGGAAGTTTTCAAATCTCGGAGAGCAACCTAACTGGGAGGAAAATAAAAGCAACTCCCAGCAGAAAAGTACTCCAGACTCCTGCACCTGCCACCAGCAAGTGGGGGCGAAACAGAGAGGAGCGGATGGCATTGCTTAGGGTAGGACTGGGCCCAAAGGCCCTGAGAGCAGTCGGAGGGGCTTTTTTTAAAACTGTGGGATAGCAAGAGAGAAAATTAACTGGCCCAAACACACTGCCGGAGGTTCGCAAAACAAAGGGACTGAGAAACTCCAGAGAAGAGCCGGCCCGTCTCCGCTGAAGGTAGGAGGCAGGGGGGAGGGGAAAAGGGCAAACTCAGCCCCTGAGAAGCCACCCCCTCCCCCACTGCAAACAGGCCCCCGGTTCCTATCTAAAGACTTCCTGAGACCCGACTGGCGGCGCGCGCTGGGGCCGCAGAGGGAAAAGGCGCGCCACATCCGGGGAGAGTGCGCCCAAGCCTTTGGCTGCCTGAGCCGCTCAGGCCAGGGAAGGCACAAAGCGCAGGCGCAACCGAATCCACATTTTT